AGATGGGAAAAAAGAGTATTTGGAGCCAGATATTGTATAATGTTGTAGAAAACAATGTTAATTTATATGTATAGAGTGGTTGCAAATGGAATGTCAAGTCAGAAGTAGGAGTAATCTAGTTTCAACCAAGATAGATGGTGTCTATTAGTCAAGAAGAAAACTATAGAGTAGCATTTTGGGGGCAATATACCAGATGCAGTGTTCAAAACACTGGTTACAAGGAACTTAGGGGAAGAGTAGATGAACTCAGTGAGAAATTTAACAAAGAGATTAAAAAAACATAAAGATGGAGATGAATTTTAGGGAGCATTTTTTAGTTCTAAAAATATAAAGAAGTTTTAAAAGTCATTCCTTTTTTATTTAATTCTATTTTAATTTTATCATGGTCAGGAAACACAAGCTAATAGCCTTGAAATTTATTGAAACTTTCTTTCAGACATTTGGTCAAATATTCTAGATATAGCTGAAAACAAAATATTTCTTTGTGTTGAATGTACTATCTATATTTTATCCTATCTATTGAATTTTTTATTTCAATGGCTATATAGTTTTTAAATAATTAAAATTTTTTTCAATTAAAGTTGGTATACAGCATTATATTAGTTTCAGGTGTACAACATAGTTATAGACATTTATATAACTTTAAAATGATCACCCCAATAAGTCTAGTTCCCATCTGACACCATACATAATTATTATAATATTATTGACTATATTCCCTATCACAATGGCTATATTTTTTATTTCCATGATTTTTTAAAACAAGTTTCTTTTATTTAAAATAAAGATAGGGTTTTTAATCTTCTTAAAAATGAAATAGGATTTGGTTTATGCATTCTTAGACGTACAATGAATTACTTTTTTAAAATGATGGCCATCACACTCACCTAGAACATGTTCATTATACCCTTCTAATTTATGCAATAAAGCTCTTGAGATTTTTATTTTCAGTTCTAAGAGTCTAAAAAAGTATTCATCATGTGCATTCTTTTACTATTATTAAATTTATAGGGGTGATTGGTTAATAAAATCATAGGTTTCAAGTGTACAATTCAATAATACGTCATATATGTATTGCATATGTTTGTTTTTAGTTTTCCTTTTCTGTTACATTTGTTTGTTTAAACCTGTGCTAATACCACACTGTTTTGATTACAATAGCTTGACAAGTCATAACCATATCAGTTAGGGTAAATGTCTCTATCTTATTTTTCAAAATTATCTTGGCTCTTTTGGGTTCACCACCCAAAGTTAAATTTCCTTCCATCACCAAATATTTGGCCCCCTTTACTCCTATCTACCTCCCTCCTCTCTCCCTCCTCTCTGGTAACCACTGAACTATTGTCCGTGTCCATGAATCTCTGCTCATTTGTCATATTTGTATGTTGCTTTTAGTTTTATATCCCACATATGAGTGAAATCATATGGTTCCCAACTTTTTCTGTCTGACTTATTTTCCTTAGCATGATAGTCTCAAGACCCACCATGTTGTCACAAATGGCAGTATTTCATCTTTTCTTATGGTTGAGTAATATTCCATTGTATATATGTACCATAGCTTCTTTATCCAATCATCTATCGAAGGGTACTTTGGTTGTTTCTGTGTCTTGGCCACCATGAATAATGCTGCCATGAACATTGGGGTGCATTTATCTTTATGGATAAATGTTTCCAAACTTTGTTGGGTAGATGCCCAGAAGAAGGATTGCTGGGTCATATGGTAATTCTATTTTTATTTTTTTTAAGAACCTCTATACTGTTTTCCACAGTGGCTGTGCCGATTTACCTTCCCACCAGCAGCATATGAGGGTTCCTTTTCCCCCACAACCTCTCCAACACTTGTTATTACTTGTCGACGATAGCCATTTTAACAGGTGAGAGATGGGATCTCATTGAGGTTTTGATTTGCATTTCCCTAATGACCAGTGAAGATGAACATCTTTTCATATGTCTGTTGGCCATTTGTATGTCTTGGAAGAAATGTCTGTTCAGGTCCTCTGCCCATTTTTTTAATTGGATTGTTTGTTTTACTGTTGAGTTGTATGAGTCCTTTGTATATTTTGGATATTAGTCCCTTATCGGAGCTGTTGTCTTCTACCATTCAGATGGTTGCCTCTTTGTCTTGTTGGTGGCTTCTTTTGCTGTGCAGAAGCTTTATAGCTTGATATAGCCCCATTCATTTATTTTTGCTTTTACTTCTCTTCCCTTTGAGGTCAAATTCATAAAATCCTTTCAAAATTCAAGGTCCATGAGTTTAGTACCTATGTTTTCTTCTATGCTATTTATTGTTTCAGGTCTTTATTTCCATGATTTCTAATTGGTTCTTTTTCATTTAAACCTGTTCTTATTTTATTTCTATCTATTTTTGTTTTATAGTTTTTTTTGTAATCTATATTCCATCATATATCTCTTTGTACATCCTAAGAATATTTAGTCTTTATCATACTATACTCCAAATAATCTGAAATGAATTTATAGTTTGATTGTTGACTTTGAGTTTTTTCTGAACTTTTTTTTTACATATTTAGAATTTCTGTTTGCAGACACAAACAAGTTTTTTGTCACCTTTTTTGCTTGTTTGTTTCTTTCTATGCTTATTCCATCCTGTAGTTCTGAAGTTTCCTTACTTTGGCCAAAAGCCCCAGTCCAGGGTTGGGTCTCAAAATATGGTATTTTAGATTTCCTGTTGTGTTATGTGGTCAGGGACTATCACAGACCTAGTTAATGAATCAAAGGGCTGCTTGGTCAAACAAGGTTGTATTTGTCTCCTTTTACTTCTTTGGTTTGTAGTTCCAAATAAGCCACAGAACCAGTCAGTGCTTGGCAGTAGTCTTTATTCTGTTTCTTTTCATAAGTCCCTAGTTATGTGCTGCAGTTGTGAAGCTGGCTCTATTCCATGTCTTGAGAGGCACTGTTAGTCCTTTTCACTCCACAGGAGCTAGCTGTCTTCCTGCTTACCTCTGCTTAGAGCCCATTAAGTCTATGGCTTAACTTGAACAATAGCCTTGTGTTTTTGTTATTTTTCTGGTCAGTGAAATTGCTCGTCTCATTTTAACCTGGATTAATATAATACCTCTCTCTCTCTCTGTCTCTCTCTCCCTCTCTCTCTCTTTTTCTCTCTCTCTCTCTGTCTCTGTCTGTCTCTTCCTCTTCATCTATCATGCAATGCATGTGGAGTGGAGGAGATGTATCAAAAGGTCATTTACTGAGCTAACTTACGGGAAATACACTTAAACCTTTTAAGGAATTCTCTAGAAGCACAGAAATAGAGAAAGAAAATAGAGTATTCAGTTTCTAAAGGAACAATGAAATGTTGTCTCTGCTTATAAGATCATCCTCTGATAGCAAAGATGAAAACTTTGTTATTATTACTGCCTATTCTTCCCTAATAGCCAGGGTTTTTATCATTATTGTCTTATTATTTGGTATCTTCCACTCTTACTCAGGCCTGCTTCCTTCTCCTTACCCCACTTAAGACTTCCATTCCCTAAAGATTCATCAACACTCAGCTCCCTGTCAATTTAGTCATAAATTAAAGTATTAAAACCAAATTATAAATAAAGCTTATGAACCCAACGAATCCTTAATTAGTCAATATGTGGGGTATACTTCGTGTGTGAATGGTGACAGTAGGAAGAGGAGTTAGACTTGTCTACATGTCTATTCTTCCAACCAAAGACCCAGGAACAGCCTGAAGAGCCTCTGAAATGAGGCCACTTGGAATAAGGAGGCACCAGTCAGTCATATTGCCCTAAGATCACCTGCTATGACGAGAAGCTAACATGGAGAAAAGGGTTTTCTAAAGCAGAGCCAAAGTGAGGTGTGTTCATATATGTGTTTGTATGTGTGTCTCAGTGTATGAGTACACACAAACATGTCCTGCTAAATCTTGAGAATAAAAGCAGAAATATTCATCTATTGGGCTTCCGTTACCATCTGGAAAAGTTTGGGAATTACTGATCAGGGACTGGGATTATAAGAATTACATAATTGCCCGTGTCTGTTTTGTTTGTTTCCTACAAAGGTGTTACCAGTGACTCTTTATTTAAATCAAAAAGACCTAAGCGCTCATCTTTAAGAACAGCAAGGGGTGAAGCTGGGCACTGTAGTCCATTCCATTGCCAGGCTCGAGGTGGAGAAGAATGTACCTCAACCAATTCAGTAGTAGTGGCAGCTACTAAAGGAATAAAGGGCAAAATAAATGTCAGAGACTTTCTTCATGGAATCTGGTCTGGGTTTGAAAGGGATTTTTAGCCATCAAAAGATCTATGTAATTGCCAGAATCCTCCCCCTTTCTCTACTTACTTAGTCTTACAGGGTATATAAAACATGGAAAAATCTTTCAGCTTGGTCCACTAATATACTTAGGCTGAAGAAAGCCCTTTATCTTCATTTGGTTCATTAAAACATAATTGATGCCTAAGGAATCAAAAGAGACATAGTCTTGTCAAGAATCTGATGGAGGCTGTGGCCGTCTTCATAGAAAAGTACAAACGCAAGTTTTGTATAGAATTTCAGAGTTTGTGGATGCCTGGTTAAGGTATCTCTCAGCCTATGGAGAAGCAATGGGTTCACATAATAGACTGTAAAGGTTTCAAATTACCAATCCTCTTAGGAAATGGAACCTCATGGATTCCCCAGAAGCCCTCCAGGACCTCTCAACACCTTTAGGTGATAAGTATTATTGTTATTGGTGTTCATTCCATTTCTGATAATGATATCCAATTCAGACTCAACAATATTGTCCAAGTACCTTCCATCCACACATAACAAAGAAAATTGCAAACAGAATTAGATGACATTTTTCTCCATGGCCCATTTTAGTTCATGAGATCTTTGATGCCCAAAGAGATCTCTGATCCACACACTGCATCTATTGTTAGTTTCTTTCATTCATGATCCTAAACACTGATGCTTTCTTATAGAAATTTTTTATTTACTAGGTTTTCATTACTTTATAACTATCATATATATTTTGGATCCAACACACACAAGACATTTCATCAGCTTTAATACTGTCTCCTTCAGTAATGTGGACATGATATTACGAGAGTTTTCTTAGAATCTGCACAATCATTCCCAACTCAGTAAGCTTCTCCCCCATTTTTAAGACAAATAGTTGAGTTTTCCTATCACCATCACATTTCTGTATTGGGTAGTTCTGCAATTGGTACTTCTACACTTGGTACTTCTGCATTTGGTAGGTCTGCATTTGGTAGTTTTTCCTCTCTATCACTTAAAAATGTCACTTCAGGCCTTGACCCTTCATCCTCAGTTGGTGGTACAGTAGTCACTGGACCGATCCCCAACCTTGACTTCTCTACAGGACTCATAGTGACATTTTGATCAAGGGAAGGAGCTCTGAAAGTTAGGTAGTTGAGGAAGGAGATGATCCCTAGGGGAAGAGAAGAATTTGAGGTGAGTTTCAATAGACACATGGCCTTTTGGCTTTTAAAATTCTTACTCATCTCTTAAGTAACTCAGTTCCAAAGGCCTCTTTTCAGTGAAGCCAACCCTATTTTTCCACAGCAGAGTTAATTTACCCTCCTGTGCTTTCATTCCATTATAGTATTTCTTACATGGTTAGGATAAAGCTTGAACCTCCTGGATTCAAATCATAATTACACTACTTCTGTGCAGTCTCAGGCAAATCACTCAACCTGTCTATGGCTCAGTTAGTAGTATAACAGGTTACTAATTCCAGGTTTTCAATTCCATACCATAGTGCCTCTTGATGTATAAATATTCTAAATATAGGAACAGTCAGTGCTTCTATTTCTCCTAGATTCTATCTCCCTTTCAAGAATTGATTTCTCTTTCCATCCTTATAGCATAAAGCAGGGGATTGACTCACCAGAAAACATGTTTAAGAAGACACTCCACCAGTTAACATAATAGGCCCATAGGAGATTTGACTCCATGGCATCCCTGGCATGCCAGGTAACCTGTGCCAGAAATAGGATGAGGCAGAGGAGCAAGCAGATAGCTAGGACCAGAAGAAAAGATGTCACAACCCATCAGTGTCTTCAGTCTGCCTTGACTACCACCCCAACTCTTCTTCTGCTCTAGATGCCGTATCTATGGCAGGATCAAATTGGGGGAATTGACCAACATGGGGGGAGAAAAAAAGAGGCTTCTACCTCTCCCTTGGCATGTCACTTAAAGTGTATTTTACACAATAAGACAGGGCAGGAGCTGTCTTGATGTAATACTGAAGAACAAAAAAGGGACAGGAGAAAGGATGAAAGACCCACAGAGAAACTTTGCTCCCTTGACAATTTTACCCCGGCATCACCCTGCAAGTCTATGTTTGTACCTGAGATGAAGCTGAGCATGGATACCTTCAGATCCAAGTTGGTATTCATGTTTCCTTTTCTATGGAGGCAAAAGCTGAAGAGCAAGCTAAGGCCAATGAGTATAGTGAGAACAGAGACGAGGAAGAAGGCCCTGGAATATTGGAGGTAATCTGCCAAGGAGAAGAAGAAAGGAAAGATTCGGTTAGTCCAGTGGGAAACATCTCATGAGAAAAACAGATGGAGTCTTTGAGAAGGGAGTGAGGATTAAGGAGGATAAAGCTGAGCTTGCTATGTGGCATCCAGGGTACAAATAAGGATCTTCTTTCTCAGCGATTCATTAATACCGAAATCTCTTTACTAAAGATAATATACAAATAGTTGTGGGTATGTAAATGTAATTGCAGCTTAATTTTATGCCTATATCTTTAACTCCATTTTTCTAGTGAGTAAACCTCTAGATATACCTAATCATATTGCTTTGGTTATACCCATGTACATGGTCCCCAGTGTGTATGGAAGTGTGCAGCATAGTATATTATCATTTAAAAATCTGTTAATGTCATGGTTGAAAAATTCTCTCGTCATCCATTTGATTTGCCTTTTTTTAATGGTTGAGGTTAAAATAGTTTTTCCTATGTTCATTAGACATTTGTCATTTCTGTTTACAAATAAATTATTTGAGTATTTGTCTTTTTCCAATAATTTTAATACATTTTCATATATTAAGGCCATTAATCTCTTATCTTTCATACTTGTTGCATATATTTTTTCTAGTTTTACTTTTTTAGTTGAAGATGCTGTTGAATTGTCCGCTTAACTTTGATTTTAGTTTCTTCCCAAGATCTTGCTTTAGGATCCTGCCCCATAGTTCCAAATGCCCCAGCCCATGGCCAAATAACTGATGCTCCACCTCAGGGTTGGGCCTAGGTGCACCCCACCCCACCCTTCCCAGCATCTGGGGCCCCTCCTTCCCTGAGAAGGAGAAATAAATGCCTTACTCATGTATATTTTCTTTCATAATACCTGTTTCTTTGTGTAAATACGATGAAGAAACTGTTTAGTGTAGTTATGCCTTTCCTCTAATTCTTGGTTCTGATTGAAAATTCATGATTTGGTATCTTCCAGCCCTCAAAGCTTATTTTTAAATATTTTGTGTTATATTTTCAGATTTAAATTCACATAAAATTTAACATTAATAATTTACTCCAAATAGCTGGCATTTGTTATACTACATATATGACATGCATTTAAGTTCTCTTCTGCTGTTAGCAGAAGAACAAGTTGACCTTGAAAGTTAAATCTAGCAGAGGCTGAGACACTTTGCTTTATCTCTCAGCTATAATTAATCACTTCTTTTCTATTTCTGCAAGCCACATTGGAATACCAATCACATTGCTTCACAGTATCAGCTTATGAATGACAAAAGAGTTCTTCCTAGAGAGTAAAGAGAAGTTTCTCTCATAATTTGGGAAAGAAAACACTCTGGGGTAGGAGGGAGAAAGAGAAAGGGTACACTGAGGACACCAAAGAAAAGGATGGCTATATCCACAGAGATCCATCCTAGACTTGGAAACGTGAGGGCCAAAAGATCTTGGAGGAAGAAAGATGAAAGCCAATGTGGCAGAAAGCTCTGGAACTGTGGGGGGCTGTGGCATTTAATTTAGTTAGCACTCACAGGGTGGCTTGGGTGTGTGGCTCCAGCACAGCTCATGGTTGCATGAGATCCAGAGTCCTGCATAGAGCTCAAGACCATTCTTGATCACCAGGAACTGCACCCAGTTCAGTGTGGACACGCAGATCAGCAGTAGGAGGCTAAAACCACATAGGCTGCCACAGAACATTCGGATGTAGATGTGTGTCTGATCCACTTGCTCCTGCCGCCTCTGGGGTAGCATCGAGGCACTCGGATCTTTGTTGGTGGGGAGGGTAGGCTACAAGGATGAGGGAAATATTGCCTATCCAAAAAGATAACCCTTGATCCCCAAGGTCTCCTCCTCCTCTCTACCTTGAGTATCCCCATGTGGGTTTGATTTGTGGTTATCTATTTCTACCCCTTCTATAAAAACAAAAAGATAATCTTTTCTCTATCTTTAGAACACTCTGACTAGGCTTCCTTTAAGTAAGTCCTCATCCTCCCATCTGACCTGTAGTCAAGTATCTCCTCACCCTTTGGTATTCCCGGTTCCCCTTAAGTTTGGGAACCTTAGGATTGTGGAAAGTCAAGACTAATTGTTCCTCCCTCTCCATCTTGGCAGCCAGTTCACTTTCTAACTGCCACGGAATTTGTCTGAGCACCTCCTCACACATGCTGGCAGAATCAAAAGGGGCCAGAACCTATGGCATCGATCCCATTTCTGTTTTATATTCCAAGTCTGGTCAGATCAGGGAGAAATCATTACATTTTAAGCATGTGCCTGTATGTGTGATGATGCTCTTCCTTCTCCTTTTTCTGACTCCTCACAACTCCTTTATTAAACAAATTCTCAAATATTTTGTCGGCAGTTGCTGTGGGTCAGGATTTGTGTTAGCTCCTGGGACATAAAGATGAATAAGATACAGATCCCTAATAGCAAATAAAAAAGTGTATCTCGGATGGCTCCAAGATTCAATAGCTTGTAGTTATAATTAAGATTATATACATGATCTTAATATACTGATGTGTGTGTGTATCAGTAGCCCAGAATTCATGATCTTGCCCCAGCTCTAAGTGGAAAGCCCTAGGTGTATCTCGACAGGCTCATGAACCTATCAGCCATAGTCCTTCATGCAGCATCTACCCTCTTCTTCCCTTCTTGCTCTAGTTCCCTTTCTTTAATGCCTTCTGCTCATGAAGACATTTAAGGGGCACCCCCACCCCCACCCCCCACCACTGCCACTGCTGATAGGGCTCACTGCAAAAATGTCAGTTACAGAGGCTACCAGCCAATGCACTGAAAGCTACCATTCAAGATACTGCAGCAATGTTGGGTTCTACACAAGAGTGAGGAGAATGCCTTTTCCTGGTTCCACAGCCAGCAAAATTTATGCCCAGAGTATCCCAAAGTCCCCTTTTCTAACAACTCTCTCAGAGCTGTTGCTAACTCCTGTCCCTACAAGGGCTTAAACATCAACCTAAGATGCTGAACAGGTGCCATTCTGTTCCACAGTGCGAATGTCCATTCAGATAAATGCCCAGCTGGATCACCAGCTCTTGTTTTCCACAAATAGATAAACTTTGATTCCCAAGTTTGGGCTGAATCAGAACACCCTATCACATTTTGCTAGCATACCTGTAATCCAAACCACTCCAACTTGAAACCTACTCTTTATTTCAGCTTGTGGGAACTACTAGCAGTTCAAAGTCCATGTTGTCCTCCTTCTGCAAAAGTGTCATTTGACTGTCTCTTCATACTTAGCCTAGTGTCTGGCAAAAATAGTATTTAATGTTGAATAAATGAGTGAGCAATACATTTTTTTTGCAATACATTATTATATAAAGAACAAAGGTTGATACAAAGGGCAGAATGGTTAACATTGTCAGAGGAAACTTGGGGAAGGTTTATTGCAAGAGGTGATATCTTAGCTGGATTTTAAAGGAATTTGCCAGGTAATTCAGGTAGAATATTTGATGCAAAGAGAATATGTATGACTCAAGACAGGAAGCTATGAACAAACAGCACGAGGTTCTCAGGGCACTAGAAGCAGTGTGCTTCTGCTAGGAACAAAATCAAAGGTAAGGGTTGAGGATTACAGATACGAGCAAGGGCTAAATCACAAAAAGTCTTCTTTGCCATGCTATGTGATTTGTTGTCAAGTTTCAATTGCTGGAGTACTCTAGCTCTACTGGCATGATTATAGGAAAGACTTTTCTATCTGCAGCAAACTGGCTTGTACAGTATGACTATTAGATATACATGTTGGCTAGAGAGCTAGATATAGATTTTGAATAGGCAAGCCTGCATTTCAATACTTACTTAGTCCCAACAGTCACTGGCTAGGTTACTTTGGGAAATTTCCTCAAATTCAATGACTCTCAGTTTCTTCACTCTGACATTGGGATAATAATCATTCCTGTCTCATAGCAGTTTTGTGAAGATTAAATAAGATTATACACATAAGTCTCTTAATACAATACCTTAAGTACCCAATAAATTCTATTATTGGTGGCTATTGTTATTATTGATAAATATGTTATTTATATCAAGCAATTAATAAGTGCTCAGTAAATACTATCTATTTTAATTGTTTTTAATTGTCTTTCAAACTTTGCTCGAGCATGACTTTGGTACAGGCCATCCTGAAAAAGATGAAATACTAACATAAATGGAAAGGATGTGTCACCCTTTACCCTTTCACTAGTGGCACTAAACAAGTACATTACTAAAGATGATTTTGTTATAATGTGCAATAACAGGTCATTTTGTGAATAGTGTCTGATTTGGTAAATGATGCAACTTTCTAGCCATTAAAAGAACAGGTCGGTCATCATTCAACTCTCAGACCTACCAAAAGGTAGGAAAGATGCTCTGGCCTGCTGGGAACTTGCTAGAGCCTGTGATACATATGACAAAACAAGCATTTATTCATACCTGACAATATACCTGTGTATATTGCCATTCATCCACTTTAAAAAAGCAATTTGGGGTCCCCTGCCTATGTGGGCATCAGTGCCTCCAGAGCCCACGGGCAAGCATGGTGGCTTCAGGAACTCATGGGGTCTGGGAGGAGCCCGGCAACTCAGGGAGAATGGAAAGCAAAGTCTCCCATGCATGGGACTGAGAAGAAAAAGTGGATGGGAAACTGCTGTCAAAAGACATGGTCTTGAGTAAAAGATAGCTTATGAAAATCATTGAAGGAGAAAAAAATTGGATGACAAGGCATAGCATGATATTTAGGAACTGGAAAATTACACACAAGACTCTATTTAACTCTAGAAACATTAGGTATAATGGATCACAAGTCACATTGGAAACGCAAGAGGCATGCCCTATCATGGTAGCAGAAGGGTGTTCCTTTCCTTGGATATTTGTATATTTGACAAATACAGCACAAGGTGTTTCACAAGAGGATTTTCTACAGAAGAACCAAGATTAAAATGTGAGAGAACTAATATATGTCATTGCTAGCTAGGCACACTTGCACTTCAGCTTCTAGGTCCTTCCACAAAAGTGTTCCTATGAAGGCATTTTCTGCTTCTCTTCAGGTTGCTCTGGAGGACTATTTAAAGAAAATTCAACCAGTTGATTTTGATATATCCCACTCATAATTATAGCAGAAGAACACATTACTTCCATTATCTTTGTATATTCAGTCATGGAGAAAAAGATATTAAAATAATTTCATGGCACTGGAAAAACAATTTGTTTAGAAGAAAACATGGAGTAAGATCTTTGTAACCTTGAAGTAGGCCAAAATTATTTTTTAACCAGGACTTCTGTGCACCAGAAGATACCATTGAAAGAGTAAAAAGGCAATCAGTGGAGTAAGATATTTGTAATACGTGTATCTAACAAAGGATTTGTAGCGAGAATACATAAAGAACTCTTAGAAAAAAGAGTAAAGTGTCCATATAACCACCAAAAGACATGTATTACAATGCTCATAGCAGTGCTTTTTATAATAATCTCAAACTCGAAACTACCTAGGTTCCCATCAACAATGAATGGAAAATTGTGGTACATTCATACAATACTATACAGCAATATGAGTAATCTGCAAGCACACGAGCAATATGGATAAATCTCATAAACATAATGCTGAGCAAAAAAGCTAAACACAAAAGAGTACATAGGCATGGTTCCATTCACATGACGTACAAAACAGGCAAAACTCATCTGTATTGGCAGAAGTCAGAAATACCCATAGGAGGAAGATGACTAAGGATTAGAATGAGACATACGACAGGCTTTTGGGGTGCTGGAAGTGTTCCATTTCTTGAGTTGGGCACTGATTACCAGAGTTCTAGGTGTATATTATATTTTAATAAAGAGTTAAGACTATCTTGAATATATAAATCAAGAATCTTAAAAATGTATCTTTTGTTTCAGTAATTTCATCTCTAGGAATCTATAAAATCAATATTATTATTACAGCTTATTTATATAATCTCTTATCTACTAGGAATTGTGGTAGGTGCTTTATATACATTAACTTGCTTTTGTGAATCAAATTTTTCCATTTCATTTCCTCATTCGTTATTGCTAACATATAAACTATTTTTTCTATGTATTTGCCTTTTATCTGACCATTTGATTGACTCTATTGCTTTTTGTTTCATCTGTATATTCATTTTCATGTTAAAGAAGTCTCCTACCATTTCTGTTTTATCAGGATTTTAAATTTAGAATGGCTGTATCAAAGTCCTTTTTAACAAATATGGGCTTTTTAGAATATGGGCTTTCTCTTTTAATGTATTTAATATAAACATTGCCTGAATACATTTCCTAATGTTCACTTAATTTTGCATTTCTCTAATGAAATATGTTTGGACAAGATACATTATTCTTCTGATGTATTGCTAGGGGTATTTGTTTTTAGAGTTGACCAAAGAAATATTTAGAATTTTAAAAAATATATCCACATATTTAATTTTTTCCCAGTTTTAATATATTATAGTCAAAGAATATATCCTATAGTAATTCTACTTTTTGCTTCTCATCACAAGAAAAAATAATTTTGTAATTGTGTATGGTGATGGGTTCAGCTGGACTATTACAGTGATTATTTTGTAATACATACAAGTGTTAAATCATTATATTTTACACCTGAAACTAATATAGTGTTATATGTCAATAAAATTTTTTAAAATTCTACTTTTTGGAATTTAGAAATATTTGTCTTTTTGCCAGCTTTTCTCTATGTCCTATGGACATTTAAAAACAATGACTAAGATACAAAGTTTTAAATATATTTATGTAGGATATAAGGTTCTAAATTCACTATATTTAAATTATTAATGCCATTATGCAAGACATTCTTATTTATTTTTTCTGCACTTGATAAAATATTCTCAGAAAAAAGTTAATATTTCTTACTATGGATATAATTTTCTATTTTCTCTTATATTTCTTCTGATTTTTGCTTTATATATATTTGTTTCTTGGTTATTAGGTGGACAATGGTTCATAATGTATATCCTCTTTATGAATTGTATTTTTTTACCTTTAAAAATATTCACTTTTGTTCCATTCAATTTTTTTGCCCTCGGTTCTGTCAGATGTTAATGAATGCTCCCCTTGCTCTCTTTTTGTTTGCATCTTCCTGGTATA